ATTATGTGTGAGACCCTGGATTTGATCCCCAGTGCAAAAGAAAAAGAAAAAAAAAAAAGATTCACAGTACATGATTTTTTAAGAGTCTTGGTATACATGTTAAGAATCATATACAAACTGAAATGTCTCTGTACTGATCCTGAACACAACCAAAAGAAATTTCAATTATGAAAAAGAAATGTATATTTTAAACCCTTGAATCAGTGAAAAGTATCTATTTTTACCTACTTGAAAGCAGCTAAAAACATATGTAACCCAAGTTTTCTCTGTATTAGGATAAATGACTCCAACTCCATCTACCATCCCAGGAATCTTCACTAGATTATGCCACCTTTACCACATCCTTCTCTAAGTGCAGAACTCAAAAACGGAGCTACTACTCTTGGTCTGGCCTTACTTGTGCATGATAGGACTGAAGAAAGCCCTCCTTATTCTGGATACACTACTCTCATTGATGTTACCAAGGTCACCTGAGCGTTTCCCACCCTCCAGAGTTGAGAACTGGGAACGCTATGCCTTTGAACTAAGGTTCTATTCCCAGAGTTCTCTGAAAAATATGTTCACAATCTATAAAATAAACATTTTCTTGTATGTGGTAATGATTTTTCTTATCATGCCTCCCACAAATGTGGTTGCTTTATAGCCAAGCTAATTGCTATTACATCTCTCCATTTACGATCCATTTATTGAGTAATTGCTCATTGAATAGAAAGGTACGAGGTGCAAACAGATGGGGAAGAATTCCTCAGAAAGATGAGAGTGAAGAAGGAACACTTCCACAGTCACGTCTCCCAGCAGTGTTATTACTGTTCTGCAGGTTGGTAGTTGTCTGTTACTTCAGGAAAATCTATTCCAATTTACTGAGTCAAAACGAAATGGAAATAGAGAATTGCCATAAAAAAGGTTCTAAAAATACATGGCATTAGTCTAGAGGCCAGATGTTAAGCAACCAGAGAACTGTTATTAAAGGCCGGAAGTGTCCACCTGGGAAGCTGATAACTTGTCCTTTGAATTTATATAGGTCTCTGCAACAAGAGGACCCACATGCAGAACTGGGGAGAAAACGCTGCTCTCTTTTCTGTCGCAGAGAAAAGCTTGTGCCACCCAGAGATCCTGGAGTTTTAAATCACAGAAGAAACTAGGTAGAATGTTACAGTGTCTCCAGTGCATCAGGGAGAAAGTTATTTGGCCTGCAAGAAAAAATTTAAGCTAAATTTTGCTTATGAATGTTGCATCCAGAGGAGTAGAAGGTGTAATCATGAATTCCATTTATCAAGGTGTTTTGGTTTTCTCCTGTCAAGCAGGTAATAAGATGGCTCTTCAAATAACACTGTATAGGATCAGGAATGGCTATATAAATTGATTTAGCCCACGAAATGTGAACAAAATAAAAGTAAGTCATCTCCATGCAGAAAATTTAGGAGTCAAAATCCCTATAGGAATCCTGCCTTAGCACTTGTGAAAATACATGTTGGCACCTACGTTCCAATGTGTGAGCAATAGAGAATAGAAGCTACCAGGCAATCCTTGTTGGACATGTTAAATGAGCAAGAAACACCACTCGGCTTATGTTAACCCACTGTAACTTGTGCATTTTTTTTTTTTTGTATGTGAGACCTAACCTGAAGAAAATAACTGACACACCACCTGAGCATCAGCAAGCCCCATAGCTTTGTGTGCATCAAACTCCTTACTTACAATGGCAGGAATAAAAAAGAGCCTACCTAATGGGTGATATTATTGTAAAGATCACATGTACTAATACATATGAGAATCTTACACTGGTACCTGAGCAAACAAGCACTCAACCAACATAACTAATATATTCCTTTATTTGATAGATGTAGTAGATGCTACTGAAATTCTCATATCATATCCTCTCGTCTTCTATCTCAGCCATAGTTACAAAGGGCAGTCCTGTGCAAGCTCAGACTCACTAGTGCCGATAAGCTTGCACATCACTTCATGCTGCATTTCTATTTTTCTACCCATAACTTTCTCTAGATGATCAAAAACAGTTCAGGTACTTAGCAGAGTTACTGCTCCCAGGAACAACCTTCAATCAACAGGGGACAGAAATCAATAGGTGAATACCCCAGCTCAAGGCAAAAAGAAAAAATCCAAAAAGGTCCCCGCCAAATTATCAGGAAATCCCAGTAGCACTGACTCCCTATTGCTGGTCCCTGAGACTTGTCACACACGAGTCCCCCTGCAGCCTCAGTGTTAATTAAAATCTACTGTCAAGTGTTGGAAATGACCTCATACTCCTCTCTCCCTAAGAATTCTTCAGGGAAAACACCACCACCTTCACCCCACATTCCCTACAGAGTGTTGACCACCTTGTCCTCACCAGCTGCACATAGGGGTTGCAGGTCCAGCCATTGGGGATCCAGGGATGGAGGTCCACGGACTTCCTTAGCAGCTTCTCTGACTGGCATTCTTGTTCAAATGTTAATCAAAACTGGGAGGTCCTTTCATGTTAACCACTCCAAGCACACTCCCAATTTTTAAATCATGAATTAATTGTTTTTACCTTAATAAAGACATTCTCAATATTCATTTATCATCATTAATATCACATTACTGATTTAACATAATATACCATTACACATTACTTATATTGAACATATTACCTCTTCTAGCAAACCTATAAAACAAAACTTTTATTTTACTCATTTAGTTGATGGAGTAACTGAGACTCGAGATATGAAATATGATTCTTATAGTCACACAACTAGGAGGAGGCAGAGCCAGGATTCAAAGCCCAAGGCTACCCAAGAGTCCATGTCTTAGTCTCTTCCCACATCATCTCCAGGCACTTAAACTGTTACTTTATCCCTTATTAAACATCCTTCTACTTATTAGCTCCTCTACGTCATCATGTGAAGATGTCTTTCAATCTTTAATCTGTGGCTCTATGTATTATGAAGTCCCTTCCACAATCCCATGTTTGAAATCTGCTGTTATCTACCCTCATAATTATTTTTTATTTTAATTCCTTATGTCTTAATTGGAATTCTTCATCTCAGGTTTAAACTTTTTTCTGTTTCATCAGAAATATACATTCAAGGGCTAGGGTTGTGGCCCAGAGGCAGATCACTCGCCTACCATGTGTGAGGTACTGGGTTCAATCCTCAGCACCACATAAAAATAAAGATATTGTGTCCACCTACAACTAAAAAATAAACATTTTTAAAAAATATACATTCAAGGTTGTAAATATTAAATCAAACGTATCATTAATATAAGGGATCCAGTTCTGGTTCTATACTGGCTTTTCTATATTTGTGGTCACTTAGTGCTATTCAACAAATTTTCCTGTCTCTGATTTCTGTGCATGTGATAAGACAGCACCTCCTTCCCCTGTTATGGTTTAGTCACTACATATGACCAGCCCTAGTTCATAGACTGTGAGCAAAAGCAACATATGTTTCTATCCTTTGGCCTTAGGCATGCAATTACCTAGGTAGGGCTTCTAAATCTGCCTTACCCTCTGCACAAGGACCAGCAAAAATCCAGATAGTGACCACTGCAATATCCAGGATTCTGAGGGCATGTAACCAAGAGCTCAGATAAATATCAAAATGTGTTCCAGCTGACACTTGATTGATTTGTAGTGTAAGTAAAAAATAAGTCTTGTTTTAAACCACTGAGATAGGGAGATAATTTATTACAGTAAGCAAACCATCCCATCTTGACCGATTATTCCTGAACAAGTCATCTTTAAGTTTCATCATCCAATTTAGCAAATAAAAGGAAAGGAGAAATAATATTTAGTGAGTGTCTCCTAAGTTCAAGGAGCTTTGACATATGCAATTAAAAAAAAAACAGACAATGTACTGTCCCTTGTTAAAAAAAAAAAAAAAACCAAATAGCCTAAATCCGAAGACATCTCTCAGCTTCGCTGCTTTCGTAGTAATCTAATCCACTCTCACCAGCCTCTCCTTGTTTAATTCTCCTATTCAAACTCCTCCAAAGAATTCTCCCTGTAGCTTGATTTAAATTCAAAGAAACTTCAGTTTGAATAGATTCAAACTTTTTATGACCTGCCAGTCATGTCAATCTGATCATACTCTCCTGACCACTCGTGAAGTTCCTGAAACATGGCTTCTGTCTGCATCACGACCTTTGCACTTGCTGTTGGTTTTACTGGGAATATACTTCCTTAGCTGTTTTATGGCTGACATTATGATTCAGAGTTCAGCCCAAATGACATATCCTGAAATAAGCCTTCTTTGGCCATCCTTGAAAACTATGAATTTTTTTAAAAATCTCAAATCATATTATTAATTTATTAGTTCACTGGTATGCTTTCAGAATTCCCAACTCAAAAACAAAAACAAAAAAAGCCTCATGAAGGCAGAGACCTGCATTTCTTGTTTACTAATATTTCCTCGAAGTCTAGAACGGTGCCTGGCACAAAATGAATTCTCTGGGGACATTTGTTAAACAAAATAAAATTAATGATGCAGACAAGGAAGTGAGCACTGGGAGTGTAGATCTCCCAGCCATCCTAAATCTCAATGATTGTGTCTGATTCTGAAACCCAGTTGCTTTTTTGAGCAGGCAAAAGTGATAGAAATGTCAGGTAGCTTGCAGGGCTAGAGGACGGGTCAATGTCTTTATAGGCTTGGGATTCTGTGGTGCATGTAATCAAAACCAATGCCACATTGATCAGGCTTTCCCCCAGAGAGCCAGGACTGTCCAATGCAACAAGGTAACTTGAGAAATCTATCGATCTCTCATTTTTGTCTGGTTGTACAAATGACAAGGATCACTGGAGACCCGTATTCTGTTCCCCGGGACTGGGGAACTTGCATTTGTATTTCCCACAGTCTTGCAACCTGCTCTGCTGGGACTGCCTGCCCACTCTTTATTCTTGTTCCAGTGTCTCAGTCTGTGTAAGCTATTTTCTCAGCTTCTTCCAGTTCTCAGAAAGGTCTCCTCCTCCCCCCCTGCTCCCTGCACGCAAAGCCAGCTGTGCTCTCAAGCAGTGCAGTCTGACACAAGCTCATTGGCCCACAGCCTGTGGAGGGGCGGGGCTTCTGTCTCAGGGGCTCTTCAAAAAGGCTCACAGTGAGAGCAGCCCAAACTGGAGGCTGAAGCACTCACTCTCTCCCAGCCTTCTTCCCTGAGCCTGTGCCTCTGAACTGCTTCCTCTTCCCTGTCTGGCTCAGCTGGGGATTGAGCCACATACCAGGGGACTCTGGGATCTGCGATTTAATGTCAGTGATGGAAAAACTTAAAAATGCTTCCTGGATCCACCAGCAGGAATTGGAAGATCCACTCAAGAAGTACTTGAACAGCACCGAGGACTACCTGGCCTACCTGTGCGGACCTCCCCGCAGCCACCTCTTCCTCCCGGTGTCTGTGGTGTATGCTCTGATTTTTGTGGTGGGGGTGGTGGGCAATCTTCTGGTGTGCTTGGTGATTCTCCGGCACCAGACAATGAAGACACCCACCAATTACTACCTGTTCAGCTTGGCTGTGTCTGACCTCCTGGTCCTGCTCCTGGGAATGCCCCTGGAAGTCTACGAGATGTGGCGCAACTACCCCTTCCTATTCGGGCCTGTGGGCTGCTACTTTAAGACTGCCCTCTTTGAGACCGTGTGTTTCGCCTCCATCCTCAGCGTGACCACGGTCAGCGTGGAGCGCTATGTGGCCATCCTCCACCCCTTCCGTGCTAAGCTGGAGAGCACCCGCCGGAGGGCCCTCAGGATCCTGGGCATCGTCTGGGGCTTCTCCCTCATCTTCTCTCTGCCCAACACCAGCATCCATGGCATCAAGTTCCACTATTTCCCCAATGGGACCTCGGTTCCTGGCTCTGCCACCTGTACGGTCATCAAGCCCATGTGGATCTACAATTTCATCATCCAGGTCACCTCCTTCCTCTTCTACGTCCTCCCCATGACGCTCATCAGTGTCCTCTACTACCTGATGGGGCTCAGGGTGAGTAGCCAAGATAACAGGCTTGGGCAGCATTGCTTCATTTTCATTGCCTCAAAGTTCAGAGAAAAACTTAACAATTTGAGAACGTCAGAATCAGAAAGGAGCATAGAAGAAAATAGAATGAGTTCAGATGGAAAATAAAAAGTTAAAAAATATGCCCAAAAAACACAACTATATGTCATTTCCTTTAGCTTATCTTGCATTATTCTTTCCTCTAGACTTTTTTTTCTCATATCTTAGTGTTTCTAAGAATCAGCTCGAAAACTTACTACGGGTCCCAATATGCACACTTCACCCATAGGAAAATCTGCTTTAGGAGGTCTGACAAGGAGCCTCACTTTAAATTAACACATTAGGTCATCTGGGCTTGGTGGACACACTTTGAAGCACCCTTCCACACTTTACTGTCTCTTTCCTGTCCCCACATCTAATGCTTACATGGACATTTTCCTCTGTACTAACTTGATCTCAGTAAGATACAAACTATCCCTATTTTATAGTCCAAGAGAGACATACTTTTTAAAGTCAAATACTTTCTTGTGGCTTCTTTATGCTTGTAATCAAATTAAAATTATATATATGCATATAAATATATATGCATATAAATATATATATGCATATAAATATATACATACATATAAATAAATATTTATATATCATGAGCTGAGTGATACCAGCTTGGTCTCCTCTTGAGTAAGTAGGGATTGACAGGTAGGCAGATCAATAGACACATGAGATAAAGCAGAAGAAAGTTAAGAGATCTCTGGGATTAAGATAAAGCAGCACTTAGTCTGCAACATATCTTAAAACTAGAAGTTACCTTCCTATACTCATGTTGGTAAAGTGGTGTCCTTTTTTAAATCTTTTATTTTCTCTGGCACTAAATTAGCTGGGAGAAATCATATTTGACAAGGGAAGAAATGAGACTGTAAAATTCCTAGTATATCCTGTGCCAAGTTCATAGAGGTACAAGTCTTGACTGTGACACCTCTACACTCATGTAAGAGGGTAGCTTGTGTAACAGTTCTAAAGCCATTTAAACTCCCAGGTCTTCAGCTGACATAGAAATTGCCTTAAGGCAAGCCACATAGTTCTCCTGGAGTGACTTCTCCATTCATAAAATGGAAAAGCCACATCAGATCATGTCTAAGGCTCTTTCTAGCTTTAAAGGTCTGTGATTCTTTTTAAAAAGAGAAAAATAAAACTGTGAGGGGAACAAAACGTGAATTACAAATTAAAGGAGAAATAAAAAGCATTCACTCACAAAATGTGCTTCAAGAGGGCTTTGACAGTATACATTATGTAATAAGCAGCGTCCTCCCATCTCAGTCCATCTCTGAGAAAGGACACTCAAAACTGAGTGTTCCATGGGGCAACCTTTGGGGTATCTATTTTCCCTAAGATGACTATCAAGATCTAAGGAAGAAGAACAAATTTTAAGTGTCACAGACATCTGAGCACTGAAATATATCTAAACATGCAGGGAGCTGTGCTAGTTTTCCCTTGAGTTTCTGACATTTATTCCTATGTTACCCCAAAAGCAGTTCAAAGCCATGTCTGTGAATGCCTTTCGCATCAATTTTATTAGGAAGAAGAGACGACACACATTACCAAGTATCATAAGTCCCGTGAGAAATCCACACCCAAAACTAATAAATATCATCTCGCCCAACACCAAACAATCACTTATCTTGGCTCCATTTGGGGAAAATATTTAAATTCGAATAGGAAACATTGCCAGTTACATTTTTGTTTTTGTTACATTTTTGTTTCACTGTCATGAATCTACAGCTAGGTTGCATCAGGAGCTGACTGACAGCTCAGAAAGAAGTTAGAAACCACCTAAGTTTGCTTACTCTGAGTAATGCAACTTAATGACATCTTATTCTCAGAAAAGATGAGGCATCATCCAGGGTACTAGAGGATACCAGGAAATCTATAAAAGACATTCCTACAGTAATTTAAACACCTGTAGACTGGAAGCTTGGAAAGTCAGCCATATTCTGTGGCAATGATTTGAGAGATTTTCTACTTTTTGCCTGAAATGTCCCTGCTGCCCACCACTACAACTCCATTGTCTTTCTTAACTCTCAGTTAACCTCTAAGTCATACTTAGTCACACTTCCTTAAAAAAGCTCTCCAAATCCCCTAGTTATATCAGGTCCCTATTGTAGGTGCTCATGGCTTTTAGTAATTTTCCTTCATTACAATTTATAATTCCATACTTGTAGAATTCCTTAATTAACTTATTTCTCCCAGGAGCTCAGTGAGTGCATGAGGACTAAATGACTTCTCTATTACTAGACTTTTAACTTCTGTACCTTTAAAAGGAAAGACTTGGAACCATTTGTCTCAAAGGGCATTTTTTTATCTCTGAGATTTAAAGAGACCCAAGCAATCCTAAAAATAGTTACGTATTGACCCTCTTGGCAAGTTTAAAGGTATAAACAACTCTGGATGCCCTAGCCTCCCAGAGGCAGCAAGCCCAGAACTGACAACATCACAGGCCCAGGGAGGAAGAGAAAGCACTCAGCAATGGCCCATCATTCCAGGGATTGATCCTCCACAGAGCTCTCTCCAGGGGCACATGTTATAGGTATAGAAGGCAAGTCCCTTCCCACCTAGGAGAGGGTATGCTGATCTCATCCTTGTGTTTCCTACAAGCCACTTTAGTGTTAGCACTAAAAGGATGCAGGTATGGACTGCAGCAGAATCCAACCATGCCAAACAGGGTTGTGCTCATACATACACAGATGACAGATATGCTCATACACAGACACACACTCACCAGTCAATGTTTGGTAAATAGATTTTGTTAAGATTACAGAGATATACACAAAATCTATTCTATCTTGTTATTCTGAAGCCACATCTCCAGAAACTATACATGGGGCCATGTGGTTGGATGCTTTCAATCACTATAAACAAATAATCAGGACAAAATGTCAACCTGAAGGATAATTGAGTCCATGAACCACCCTCCACTTGGATACTCTATAGTTGGAGGAGGTGGGGCAGGAAAGCTCTGGAACATCTTATTACAGTGACCACAACTTTTTTTATTCCTCTTTTTGCTGAGATTTGAAATAAAACTTTGGAGTAAAGCAGAAATCGTTAATGATTATAAAGAATATCTACTTTGTTAAACATCTACAAGGAAATGAATTATTCAATAATAAAGTAGCATTTAATATTGGTTAGACAAATTGTTTGGATTCTATTCTGTCAACCACATCAATTCTGTTGGAACGATGAACAACATGCATAAAAATTTGTTTTTTCACTTTTCCTCCAATTAGTTAGCTATGTCACTATAGCCTAAGGAAGATGCAAAGTAAGTAGCAATTAATCGGCACGTGATTTTTCTTTCACTGAAAACTACACTTGTATGGGAGGCCTGTTCAGGGGAAAAAAACAAAAACAAAAACTGTTTTGACTATTTTCTTGATGTTTGATTTAAGGAAATTATCCCTGGGGGTGGACGTATTTCCACTGAGACTTGTTAAAGCCAAGCAAGAAGTGACTAATAGATCTCAACATCCTTTCATTATTCTTAATTATGGACTGAAATTAAGTAATGAAAGAAGCATATCTCATAATAAGTAATTTTCAAGGGCAGGAAATAATTAAAACCTTCAGTAGATTTGACTGACCATGTACTGATAAAGTGTATGGGCTGGTGTGCGGCTCCCCTTGCTCATGTTTTCCTCCTCAGTGCATCTGGCTGCTGCTTTGTATCAGGAAAGCATTATTTTTTTTTTTTTGAGCAAGTGGTAGCAAGATAGAGAGAAGACCTCAAAAAGGAAGTCAGTAATCCACTTCATTCTAATGTAAATAAGTAACTCCGCTCAAAATAAATTCAGTTTTCATTGCATCCCATGAGTGGACTTGGAACAGCCACCTGAATCACAATAACAGCCATTAGGTGTCACTTTGCTAAGTATCACATGCCAGGCACTGAGATACACACTCTGCCAGCCTTATTTTACTACTGTATTAAAAACATCCCATCCCACCACCTTCCATTTCCTCTTCTATTCCTAAATGGCTGCACCTGCAACTCCCTTGTTTCTTTTCAAATTCTAGGTGACTCCAACGGGTTCAATCCCTCATTTTATGAAAGCATAGGCACATGCATAGAGCCCCAGCACAGTCACAAGACAGATGGCCACACCTATTAGCCATATAGGCAGATGCTCAGGCCCAAGCGTCCTGAGAGCTACCCAACTTCCAGCAGCTGATACATTTGTTAGGGAGACAGACTATTGATTTGTTGAACCTTAAAGGCAATTTTTAATGATCCACCGTTCCAGGTCTTATCTCATTTTAAATACTTCTTCTAAAATATTCCTTTGAAATGCCTTCTAGCTCAGGAAGCTCATTGCTTCTTAGAGCAGTGTGTTCCTTTGTCGCACATAATCACACCAACTTCTAATTTACCTTGAATTTCAATCTATCTTGTTGGAAGTCAGACTGATGCTGATATAAGAAGGGCTAAAGGGTACCCCCCTTAGTAGAGAGAAAGGAAATAAATACTAGTATTGGACTATATAGAATAATTTGAAATTTTCTTCCACACGTTGGCCCTTATTCAACCAGCCAGGACTGCTTTATTATGGTGAGGGAACACTCTACACAGTCTGGCAAAACACCAGGAAGCAGGAGATCTAAAAAGTCCAGATGTGGCACTGGCTCCTGGCAAAGACAAATCCAGTAAAACACACAACGTCAAAGACCTGGTTTGTTTCTCTTTCTTTTCTCTTCTTTCTATGACATTGATTTTAATCTTAAACTCCATGTGGCGGTCCACTGGTTGCTCCAGGCTCTCTTTTCAATGTGGGGAAAAAAAAGGTAACTGTTATAATCCCAGACCTCACATTCAGAGACGAAGGGCTCCCTCTGGCAGTCCCCATAAAAAGAAATTGAATTCCCTTCCCCAGAAATGCAAGCCAACATCTGAAATCTCATTGACTCCAATTTTCAAGTCATCATGACTGTAGGATAGGAGGTCCGATTGAATAAGTAATTTTAGGACAATACCAGGGTCATTCCCAGCCAAACTAATGACTAGGCACAGGCAAGGAGTAAATTGCCTAAGAGAAAGTTAGGGTATTATTAGTAAGAGAAAAAGGAAATAAATGCCAACCAACAGGCAGATGGATACTGTACTAACCTCCAGATATCTGATGGTCATTTATCATGGATCCTTAAAATTTCATTTGTCTGATTAGACATCCCTACAAACCAAGGTAGATATAAATTAGAAAGAAAAATATTTAACGACTAGATAAATCATAAAGACATTCAATGCTAGGGGAATTTAGAGGAAGAAGAGGACAATGGACTAACGTTACCAGGAATAGACGGGATTTGAACTAATCGAGCAAGTATGCGTCTACAGGCAGTGTTGAAAATTTCAGAGGTTTCAGAGTCTAAATAGATGAATATATTTTAACATCAATTCAGGAAGACATGCATTTTTATCAATAATGTCAGTAAAATAGCATTTTCCAAATTGTGCATGTGAAGATGGGACAAGGGACTTCACTGAAGAGAGTTTGGGGAAGGTGCTTAGTCAAAGAAATATTATTTCCCTTTGGCTGGGACCTGGGACTGGATGGGAGATGTGGGTGTGGAAAGTAGGGAGAGATGGTATCCCATCACCCTTGAGAATCCTAATGCCTGTTAGCATATCAAGGACTCTGAGGAGACCCATAATGGAACCTATAACCTTCATAAAGCAGGAAAAGTGCTTGCCCTTGTTTTCTGCTGCCTGGCTGCCACCTGCAGAGGAACTTCACTCTGATAGATATCTAACAATTATTGAATGAATAAATGGCTGAATAAATGAGTGAATGAAAGAGCCTAGATTATATATATTTTTTAACTTCAGAATCTAACACTTTTCACAAAACACCTATAAATGTACTACATAACTAGGGTTCTTGCATATCAAAAATGCTTGTAGGGGAAATTTGGCCTTAATCATCTATCCAGTTGAGTGAAGAGACCTGGATCCAATTACTGTTAGATTACTTAGAGACAAATCCCAAGCTTACTGTTAAATATTTAACATATTCTTATATTTTTCTAAGTCATGGGAGTATATATAATGTTTTGTAATCCATTTCATTTTTGTCTTTTTGGCTGCGCTTTTATTTATTTATTTATTTATTTATTTAGGGTGGTGGTGGGGTTTTTTGTGTTTTTTGTTTGTTTTCGTTTTTTTGTCTTCAAAATGAGTATTCGAGTTATACATCTCAGATCTTCAAAGGAAGAAAATAAAAATGCTTCCCTTTCTTAACATCTCTTTCCATCTCTCCTTCAGCTGAAGAAAGATGAATCCCTTGAGGCGGATGAAGTGACTGCTAATATCCACAGACCTTCCAGAAAATCAGTGACCAAGATGCTATGTAAGTCCCACTTTGGTTTTGTGCTTTGTTTTCTTTTGTTTGCAAAAGCAAAGGATTTGCATTTGGTTCTTAGGAAGCGCTGCTGGCTTCAGGCTCAAAACTGCCCTGAACTATAACAGCAGGTCAAACTTTCTTGGATCACTCAAGCTTCTGGGACACATCTGGATGTTTTCCTTTTGGTTCTGAACCTTCAGAAGGACATGATAAATCACCTTGACGGCAACACACTCCACGTGATCCGTGGTAAATTGCATCCTCTCTTGAGCCTTTGAGCATCATTTCCCGCCTCTGCAAAATTGGTTGGTGTTTCTACTGTTTGTGTTAATGAGTTTCACTATACACATGATAAAAGCTCTTGATTCTACTTCAAAAGTGTACTAATGAGCTTACACAAAAAATGTTTTATAATCCATTTCAGGGTATCATGAACCCCCTGATGCCCACGCATGAACTCCTTAGGATCTTTTAAATCCAAATTAAGAACATTGGGCCAGGAGCACCTCCAAGTAGTCATCCCACCTATGATATTCTAAAACTTTGTGTCTAACCATGTACTTTTTTTTGTAGCTAAAAATTTTAAAAATCATACTCTCAAAAGAATGTTATAAAAATATATAATTCATTACTAGTCTACAAGAATTACTGAAAAGGGAGAGATTTATCATAGACTTTCCAAATCAAAACTCAAGATTAGAAAGAAGTAATTCCTCAGCCATCTAAGGCACTCAAGGTAACTGGCATGCAAATAACTGAAAAGTCACTGATATTGACCTTTTGATTCTGATAATCCTGTCCTGGGGAATCTTTCTGCTCCTAATATAAGCTCTTGATTTTTTTTCTTTTTTGCTGTTAAGAGTCCTACTGTCTTCATTATCTCTTTGATCATAATCTATTCACTCACTAATGTGTAAAGTTCACTCACATTAAAGTCACAGTGAGGTATTTACCTTGGGAGAGGGTTCATTTTATCAAGTAATAAATTAGTTTCTAGTGGGGAGACAGAAACAAGCAGATTGAGGGCTTCTACTTGGGGGATAAGCTCAGGAGCTTCCATATCCCTGAAACCACAGCAAGGCAGATGACTTACTCTGAGTGGGTTTTTTTTTTTTTTTTTTTTTTTTGCCAGCAAGAAATACCTAGGCTATTTACTATGACAACTTTAAAAGTGCTCACAAGTACAGAGCACTGTAAAATGAATGCCATGTGCCATCACTCAGCTCTAGAAATTATCAACTCCTAGCTAACGTTGTCTCATCTCTACTCTGATCTCTCCCCCAGTCCCTGTTAGATTACTTAGAGACAAATCCCAAGCGGCATGTATCAGCAAAGAAAATATATTCCCTAACTTCATAAGAGAAAAAAATATGCATATTTATCTTTGTGAAGTTAAAACACCCCAAAGAGAAACTGTAGTTGTGCCAATCTCTGTCTGGAGGGTTGAAAATAAGAAATTGGGAGGATTCTGTGCTCTAGCAATTTATAATATGGATTCATCCCCCCTCCCAATCAAAAGATGCTCGGAAAGTGATATTACACTTGGGATTGTTCAATCTTCCTCCCTCTCCTCCCCGAACACATCACTGGATTTTAAATGATCAATTTCAGAGAACCTTCTAATTATTTCTAGAGTAACAAGAAGAATCCATATATACTTTTAAGTTCGTTATTACTCCATGGATTTAAAAGAACACCAACTGCTTAAGCACAATAATTTACTTATGTAACCCGTTTATATGACTCCAATCATCTACCTACAGCATACTTTATATTTCACAACAAAATGCTTTTGAAAGTTTGAAATAAATCCAGAACTATTTTCAATATTCTAAAGGGAAACTCACATTATATAAGAAATCTTCTCTGGGTATTTAGAAAGCAGATCCTAGATTGGATACAATTCGTTCTTACCTTTGAACATTCTGCACTGGGGCTCCTTGGGATCTAGATTGCCTGTAACCATGATAGCTTAGCCAGGGTGGAAGGAAAGACGGCCAGAGGAATGGATGACTTGGTGAGCAACCTGCGCCTATCCCTGCCTACACTGCCGTTTGCTCTCCCATTCATCATCTTTTTCCAGTTGTTTTGGTCTTAGTATTTGCCATCTGCTGGACCCCATTCCACATTGATCGCCTCTTCTTCAGCTTCGTGGAGGAGTGGACTGAGTCCTTGGCTGCCGTGTTCAACCTCATCCATGTGGTGTCAGGTAAAGGCTTAGCTGGTCTACAGGCAGTCTTGCTTAGCTGCGGAAACAGAACAAAATATCATGGGGTTGTGCCTTCCTAGAGGGAAGACGCTTGCTTTCAATGTTATGCAGAGATCAATTAGACTTACTGCTGGTCCAAAAGAAATAGCATTCTGTTGTCAGGGCTGCCTTGTGGAATAGCTGGACTCTAAGTGTGACGATTGCAGCAGGAAAATAGGGGTGCTTTCTTTGCTTTCCCCTCCAGGGGCCATGGGATTGATTTTGGTCTTATTTAGTAGATGCTTTGACCCTATCATCTCCTATGGCCTCATGAAAACGCCAAAGGATATTCCTGGGCATCAAGATCTGATTTTAGGCTACTGTAACTCTCCTTGTCAAGGATACCTCAGAATATGAGAGAAATCATGGTGGAAAGTCACTAAGAGCACCTGGCTTGTCACCCCAATTCCACATTTAATAAATGCTAAAGAGGGCTGGAGTCCCAAGCTGCCTTCATGCCAAAGTATCTTGCCTGTCAAATGGCAATAGCATCTGCTCTCGACACCAGGGGCAGCAAATCGGTGAGTATTACAGAGCTTTTAAGCTGTCAATGCTACCTTTCTGTAATCATCACAAATTGTTAAGTGAATATTATCATAAACCATTTTCTTGTCAAAGAAACACTCTCACAGGAAGAAGTACCTCGTCCAAAGGCATTAGCTGGCCGATTGTGCACATAGGGCTAAGCCCCAGTTGTTGAGTTTCAAACTCAGGTTCTTCCCACTAAAACATAGTGCAGAATTGCCACCAAGGACCTTTCTACTCAGGCAGTGCAGCTGATGGCCTTAGGCTCTCCCCAATTCTTCCCCCTCCCCTCTGCAAGTCACTGGCTGATTCCATGGGGTCTTCTGATTATCTAACACATAGCAGGATAGATACATGAGATGAGCTCCAGATGTGCACAGAACTAAAACAATAGCATAACATGTACCCTGAAGAACCTTTGCATTATTTCCTTTGTCACCCTTGTTTTGTATTCAGTAGGCTGTGAACAGCTTATACCCAGGCATTAGTAGTTTCATGTTTCCCCATTTACAAACTAGCCAGGGCAAAACTGCAAAAAATATTTACAGCTCTTTTCTTATCCTTGTGGTAAATATGAGGAGGATGGGAGTGTCTAAGTAAACTGGAAAACACAGCAAGTCAATATGAAACTCGACTAGTTGACTAGTCACCATTTAAATTTCTAAACTGTGGCTTCTCTGATGACATTATCCTGTCAAGGTACCATCTCCTCCTCTGCCACAAAGCAAACCTGATGAAGTCTAAACTGCTTAATGGTACAGAAAAAAAAAAAAACTGACTAGTATTTTCATCCTAAATATATAGCATTTCCATTAGTAGACTATATTCTGATCAAATTAGTTAGTAGAGAGTATTAACCAAGATTCCTGCACAATATAACCATTCCCAACTCTCTCTTCACATTTTGTCTGTCAAGCCTTCTTCCCTCATAACCTACCCAACCCATCTTCAGTTATCTCCCAGTCATTTTAAGGTCTGGCTACAAGCCCACGTCCCACTAATTTGTTCATGAGCATCACAGTCCTTGGGTTTATGCCATTATATGAATTTCCATAGTTTGACAGTATCTCGTATCTTGCTCTTAACAGATATTGTTTGGAATTGCTGTATTGTTAATTATTGAGTTTAGCGCAGATCTTGCCTCTACAACAAGATCTGTGCTAAACTCAATATTTGCGCTATCCTAAGTCTCAGAAACTCTTTTTTTTTTAAAGAGAGACAGAGAGAGAGAGAGAATTTTTTAATATTTATTTTTCAGTTTTCGGTGTACACAACATCTTTATTTTATTTTTATGTGGTGCTGAGGATCGAACCCAGTGTCCCGCGTATGCACACTACCGCTTGAGCCACATCCCCAGCCCTCTCAGAAACTCTTAATTCATTACTTTAGAATGTACCTTGAAGTTCCTAGAATGCAGTAAGGATTCAATCACTTTTTCTTTCTTGAATGAACAACTAGCAAACAGCAATGGTCTCTGTCATAATTCTCCCTGCACATCCCGTGCACATGGTGCATGGTACTCTCACTGCCTAAATTATGTTAATGAAGTTAAGAAGGAACATGTTGCCTATGGTAGCTATGGGTGGTTGTGTAGTCTCAGCCCTTCTGTGGATGGAATCTCAACTAGAGCCTCACAATAATGTAAGGAAATGGATTAGGCTAGAATTTTTATTTCCCATTTTACAAAAGTAGGGGGAAATTGACGTATCAGTGTTTGTCTAAATTTATGGATCAAGACAAGGCCAGAATAGGAAATTAGTTCCTGTCATTTCCAGCCTTAGACTCATTTTGGCCTTGGAGAAATAAAAGGGAGCATGGTAATAAGGAAGAGAGTATAAACAAGAAAATGACAGTGTACAAGGCATCTCATGGAGAAAAAAAGTGACAAAACACAATTATTCAATAATGCGGAAGAGCCATCAAGGGAAAAAGAAAGGTAGAGAAAAGATGTGGGAGAATATTTCTTCGAAAAGCTTTTTAACATGATGAGGAATCTCAGCAGGGACTATGCCTTGACTGATTTTTTCTATTCCTCCATCACTTACGGTTTCAAATTATAGATTTAAGCAAAGTTCCAGTGAGGATAAAGAAATCTCCTTCTTCTGATACCTAAACATTTTTCATTAATGCTATGGGAACATTTTTTTTCTTTAATTAAACAAGTAGGGATCAAAGGAAGTTTCCAGATTTATCAGAGATCCTATACCAACCTACATGTTGCCAAGACTCTTTAATCTTTCTGTGTTTGATTCCTAAGTCACAAGTGATAGATCTGTTCAGAGCATTTTGTATTCTCAATTAAAGCCTTGCATATGTCATTGCTTCCAAAAGAGGCCACACCAGGGATTCCAGGCTTCTGTTAAATATTTATGCTTCACCCTTTCGTGTCTCCTGTTCAGTTTCTCCTTGACACGTTTATTTTAATCCCCCGTAATCCAGGGGTCTTCTTCTATCTGAGCTCAGCAGTCAACCCAATTATCTACAACCTACTGTCTCGCCGCTTCCGGGCAGCATTTCGGAATGTCATCTCTCCTTCCTGCAAAAGGTGGCCCTCCCAGGATCACTCACAGGGACCACCTGCCCAGAGGAACATCTTCCTGACAGAATGCCACCTTGTGGAGCTGACAGAAGACACAAGTCCCCAGCCTCCCTGTCAGTCACCCATCTGCACCTCTCAGCTCTCCACGGCCTTCTGCCCTCAACAGCCACCGTGAAGAGAACTCTCAGAGGAGCCACCTTTGATTTTTTTGAGTTGGATTTCTCCATGCCTCAGCACTGCAGGGAGGGACATTCTGAAATCTATACCTCCTTATGTGAAATTAGGGAGATAAAATGGCTCTTAAAACTCATGTACCTATTTCCAGTTATTTTTTTTTAACAAATGTGAAAACACAGATATAAGTCTAAAATAAAACAGATGCCAAACTTCCTGATTTTTAGTTATCTTTATAGTATCCTAAGTGGCTCATGCCCCTTCTCTAATTCATGAAGACAACATACATGGCAAAGCATGACTATACTTGTAACCAATGGCAACTGGAAGCCCCAGATGGAAGACAAGTCATTTCACAATCTTTGAGTTGAGAAGCCCATAACAATGTTCCTTCACGTTGATCTATTTATCCCCCTGCCCCATACAGGGCGATTATAACATGATTCCATAGAGTGCTGAAACCTTTCCATTTAAGAGCTCACGGATGACCTGGGAATGTCCTTAGAGCTATTAGTCGTGGCACCCCAGTCTCCAAGTCATTATCCTTCCACTCCTAATTGAGAATCGGATCAAGATATAAGTTCAACTTTGAGAAGAACAGAATGGGAAGAGGGAGGAAGCAGGTGGAAAAAGACTGAAATTACACTAAACCAAATCCTGGTCATTTTCAAAATTTGATCCAAGCTTGGATTTCTAATGTCTTATTTCATGTATAGTCAGAGGTAGGATATATTATCTTGGAACAAAGACAAGTTAAATGGCAAATACTGGTCTCCAATTCATGAGTCTTACCTACTCAATCCTTTATCATCCACATAATGCTCTGCACATATAATATGGGCAAAATGTACTTCCCAAACTCACCTTCCACTAAACCACCATGAGTACTCCATTTAAACTGGATCATTTGCTCTTCTTATGCAACTATAGTAGTTTTCCCTACCTGAACATCTTTGCATGTAGAATGACTTCTTTGTCTACTGCCTATTCTTCAGTGTTCATCTCAATATGGTACCTCCTCCACAAGGCTGTGTTTAATTTATTCAAATAGATGTGGCATCTGAGGGTGTTTTTGGTTTATTCATTTATTTATTTATTTATTTTTGGTCAATTTATCTCTCTTAAGCTTTTTCTACACTTCTGCTTTGTATTACAATGATTTATTGCTTTGCCAGAGTGTAAATTTGTCAAAGGCATGAAGTATCTTGTGTTCATTTTTTTCTGTAACTAGAACCCTAGAAATGTATCTGTTGCAATGGTAGATGTTCAATAAATATGTGGTAAAGTGAATTGGCTTCACATTCCAGTCATTTAGTCTCTGAATTTTCTACAAATTGGATGAATAATCTCTTTTATAAATGGGAGTAGTGGTGTCTGACTTCATCATTTACTAACTTAATAGTGATAGTCAAAGTGATTCAGCATTAAAAATTTCTTTTGCTAATTAGAACCCAACCTTAATAAATTAGAATTTCCCCAGTGATGGTTTACATTGGTGAACATAATTATCTGGTCATTTGATGATTAAGCTGAAAAGATTCACTGAAACCAAATTTCAGAAATGGAGGACAAGTGAGTTTCCTTCCTCCCTTTTACAATGGAAACATTCTGAAAGAACCTAGTAGGGTCATTATCCTTAACATCAATGACCAAGACTAAAAGGACTGTGCCATCAGGGCATGGATAGAAAAATAAATAACACTCAAGCTGAAGCTAGTAATTTGGTTGCTGGATTAAAATTGGCGGGGGCGGGGGTATTATTGCTTGTTTTTTCCTCACCTTTTCCTCTTAAACATTTACATTGGGAAATTGTCATTTGCTCATTAATTCTTTCATTCAACAGTCTTCACTTAGTGACCACCAGGTGATAATGCATCATGATGGGTTCTGAATCTTCTGGCCTTGGAAGTTTACTTCGAATAGACAAGATCATCACTTTGGAAAGCCTTACTCAGTTATTTAAGTCTAGTTGTGAAGTGTGCTAGAAAGTAAATACTGTACTTGGGACTGCATTTAAAAGGGGTCTGACCTAGACAGGGTATTTTAAACTTTAATCAAGCCTAGTTTGACCTATTCAGGAGAAAATCAGTTTCAAAAAGGAAAAAAATGTTATCCACATACATACATACATACATACATATGTGTACATGTAGCTATATAAGAAGCATATACTTCAAAATGAAAATTGACAGGTCATAAAACATAGTTGTACAACATTTTACACAAAATTAGAAGTAAAAAACATTCTTTTTTAAAAAATTGTTTAATGTTATTTTTATATTGGTTTTATTTTTTAAACACATGACAGCAGAATGCATCACAATTCTTATTACACATATAGAACAATTTTTCATACCTATATTTGCATATAAAATATGTTGACCCCAATTCATGTCTTCATACATGTACTTTGGATAATGATGTCTATCACATTCAACCATCCTTGCTAATCCCCTGCCACCTGCCTTTTCCTCCCATCCCTCTGCCCTATCTAGAGTTTGTCCATTTCTCCCACGCTCCTCCAGTCCCTACCCCACTATGAGTCAGCCTCCTTATATCAGAGAAAACATTCAAGCATTTGTTTTTTGAGATTGGCTAACTTCACTTAGCATTATCTTCTCCAACACCATCCATTTACCTGAAAATGCCATGATTTTATTCTCTTTTATTGCTGAGTAAAATCCCATTGTGTATATATGCCACATTTTTTTATCCATTTATCCACTGAAGGCTTTCTAGGGTGGGTTTTCTTCATGGGTGTGTCCTGGTTAAAGTCTGTGCTATTTCTGCAAGTAGGAATAATTAATTTGGCAAGCAACATTGTGAACATCATTGCTTCAGTTGGCTCAGTTTGTAGATAACTGGAGAGCTCAAAAATCAGCATCTCATTATAGAAGAGTTGGATTACCAGTGTTTTATTAATCATGTTCACTATCTTGTTTCTTCTGTCACTAGTCTAAAATTCAGAGACCACAGTTTAGCTATTGTGAATTGTGCTGCTATAAACATTGATGTGGCTGTGTCCCTGTAGTATGTGGTTTTAAGTCCTTTGGGTGTAGATAGAGGAGAGGGACAGCTGGGTCAAATGGTCCCAGATTTCCAAGGAATCTTTCCATATTGGCTGCACCAATTTGCAGTCCCACCAGCAATGTAAGAGTGTACCTTTTTCCCCACATCCTCACCAACACTTGTTGTTTGTCTTCATAATAGCTGCCATTCTGACTGGAGTGAGATGATATCTTAGAGCAGTTTTGATTTGCATTTCTCTGATTGCTAGAGATGATGAGCATTTTTTCCTATATTTGTTGATTGATTGAATATCCTCTTCTGAGAAGTGTCTGCTCATGTCCTAGGCCCTTATATTGATTGGGTTATTTGTTTAATGTTATTAATGATTGACTTCATGATCTTTTCATGAACTCCTTCTGATCTCTGAATTTTAGACTAGTGACAGAAGAAACAAGATAGTGAACATGACTAATAAAACACTGGTAATCCAACTCTTCTATAATGAGATGCTGATTTTTGAGCTCTCTAGTTATCTACAAACTTAGCCAACTGAAGCAATGACGTTCACAATGTTGCTTGCCAAATTAATTATTCCTACTTGCAGAAATAGCACAGACTTTAACCATGACCCGCCCCCATGAAAAAATGACAGGAAGCCAAAGAATACATTGATATTTTATTCAAAATTCTTAATGTGTCCTTTTCTCCCCTTGAAGAGAAGGTCTACACCTTTGATGAGTTCTTCAAAGTTGTCAGTAACTCAAATTATTCTAACCACTATTGGAAAGTGGCTTGAAATCTTACATAATCTTTTGATAGATGAGTTTTAATGGCATTGTAGGATAATTAACAAGTACCATGATTCCAATATAAAAATCCAGCATGGTTAAGTATCAGCTGTTCAGTGGAATACTGGTGACTATCTTGGACTGTCTGAAAAAAAAACTTATTATTAAAATATTTAGGAATTTTTTCAAGTCTGTCAAATGAGTAATAGGTTGAAATCAGTCACAGAGGAAATATTTATACCACAGAAATTAACAAGCACTCTTGGGTCTTTTCTTCCCTCAGAGTTGGCTTATCAGCACCTCACTAGCTATTAATATGCTGGCTTGCTGCCAACCTGCTGTTATATGTGTGGTTTGTTTTTAGAATAAATTCTCAGTAGCTATTATAATTGTGGAACACTTTAGGTTGTGGTTTACTTATCAGAAAAAAAAAAGTCAATAGACCAGATTTTTGACCTAGAGATACCAGATAAAGTAGGTTAAAGCAGACTAATGATGTCATGAAAGGCTTATCAGCATTTTATAAAGAACTTAGAGTGAAAGTATTACTTTTAGATGCTAATATTAATTATCAGCTCTGAAAATAGCAATAGATCTGCTTGCTATCATCCCTATAGATCTGTTTTTAAATATCACAAGATTCATCACAGAAGATGTACATTTTCCATATTCTTCTCTCATTGGCTGTTGGCTTATTTTAATAAATCCAATGTGCCATAAGAACATTAAAAGAAGGTTAAGATTACCCTAGCTTATGGAAAACAAGGCAAGCAAACATGGACTGCCTATTTATCCAATCCATCCCCTTTATCTTCCCTACCTGCTTTAGATCATTAAATGACATCCAGACTCAAATTTAGAAACACATATATGTTATACTTTAGAACTTGCTTATTGGAATATTTTCCCAACAGAAGGGATATCATCATAATTTCATTATTTTCTTTGAAACTATTGAAAATTTTAATGTAGATCCTGACACTATTATCAATTCCTTAATAACGGAACTGGATAAAGGTTTACTTCGTGATGTTACGGCTGAGTCCTCACAGCTTCACCAATAAACAAGGGCTATCATTCTTCTCCTCTTACAGATAAGAGAGTGTGGCTTGTCCTTGCTTTAATTTTGGAAATTAGACGGAACTTCAAAGACACAACAGAAAGTGCTGATATCTCACTGAGGTATCTGTAAGTCTGTAAGGGTAGTTTACAGATGACGACTCACAGGAAACTCGGTGGCTGCCTGGGGCATACCTTCTCAGGCTGAGCACATCACGTGGCCAATCCCATAGGCAGGGGTCTAGAAAAGTATAGTGCAATCACCTCGACACTAGAGCACACACAAGCTGGAATGTATGATATTACTAGAAGTGGGTGAAGAATCAGGACTAAAGACCACCTAGTAAGTGGCAGAGTTAGAAATCCAGAGCTGTCTGACCCCAAGTTTAGGCTCTGCATTATTCTACACAGACTCTACAAGTCTGTTTCATTGACATCACCCGCACAGCCTCACAATTTAATGTCATCCCTAAATATTGTCATTTCCCTACCAAATCATGAATATAGAACATACAGCAATCAGAACAGGTAAGAACATGAACACAGAGCCAGAAGCCTAGGTTCAATACTGGCTGAGACAATAATTAACTCTGTGTGATTTTGTACAAATTACCTAGCTTTTCTGTAGCCCCATTTCCACACCTACAAAATTGAGAAGATGACAATACCTACGATGGTGTTCCTGTGAATTTTAAATTAGTTAATAAACTATTTGCAATACTCTTAGGACAGTGGCTGACACTTAGGAAGTACTAAGATAAATGTTTGCAAAAAATGACAAACAGGAATGAATATTGTTTCATGAAGATATATTTTTAGGCCACAATTCACTTTTAGACAATGTTACCCTCTGGGACAGCCTTCAAATGCAAAATTCAAGTGAGCTCAACACTAGGAAATCTGTCAGGCATTTTTTGCATTCATTTCAAACAAATAAACAAGCTGCCTAAGATTTCATCACCAAGAGCTAGGACTTCATTAGTAACGAAGGCACGGATGTATATTAAAGAGTGCTTCTCTGTTACATAAAAGATTAATCAATATTATGGTAGAGTCACCAACAAAACGACAAGCACAGGCTGCTATGTACAGCTAAGCACATTAATTGTTTTTTAAGACCTTCAGCCTACTGTCATCTGGAAAATATGTGCCTGAAATTTGGCTCTCATTATTAGAAGACAGAGGGTTAAGGACGCAGCTCCCATGATTGTTCTTGCACAGATACCAAATTCAGAAATGAAAACACAGACAAGCCCCAGGGCTATTCACCGGCACACTACTTTCAATAGAGGGAGAGATTTCGGTATGCCATGTCTTTGAACTTCAATGTCAAACCTATGTCGCATATCTCTATTCCCGGAGCAATTACTCTGAGGCAGATTTGGGGCCATGCATTCTACATTTTTTATCAAGTCAGCTTTGTAATCATTCCCA